GTGTTTATTGATAACATCTTGATGTACTCCCGTAGCCGGGAAGATCATGAGAAACATCTGAGGATTGTGCTCCAAAACTTGAGAGACTATAAGTTGTATGCAAAATTCTCAAAGTGTGAATTTAGGCTTGATTCGATGGCGTTTTTGGGTCATGTGGTGTCGAGTGAGGGGTATCACGGGACAACCTTCGCGATCGTGAAGCACACTAGCAAATTTCAGCCAACTTAACTTTACTCCGGATGGTCCAAAATACACCCGAGCCACCCGGGAACCCGTCTAAATGTACCACCACATTCATAAACATGCTATGGACCTACTCGAAGCCCCAGAACATATAAAATGACACCGGAACTAAGAATCACACCTCAAACAAAATTAATCAACTTCCAAGCTTCAAACGTATTTCAATTAACTCCGAACGTGTCAAATCACACTTGCACAACTTGGAATGGCATCAAATTGTACAAGTCACAAATCACAGTACGCACCTATTCCAAAGCTCGAAAACCCAAACGGGCATTGATAACGCCAAAGTCCACTTCAAATTAACCTTAGAGAATTCTAAAACCTTCAAAATATCAACTTTCAACATTAAGTGTAAAAAGGCTACTGATCCACCTAAAACTCAATCCGAACATACACCCAAGTCCAAAATTATGATACGAACCTATTGGAATCATCCAAGTTCACTACTTGGCTCTTAACCTCACTAGAAATCCCCAAATGACGCCGAATAATTCGAAACTAGTCAAAAGTCATACAAACTAATCAATATTTGTTCAAAAAATCATAATTTAACTATTCAATTGATTTTCCAACAAAATTCGGAAAGTCCATAAAAGTCACCCCCGGGCAAACATGCCTGGATTTTGAAAATTTACAAAGATAACTGTTACCCGTGACCTTACAAACTCGAATATTTAATTTATTCCCAATTCCATAATTTTATGTTGTGGTCAAATCCCAATTTTACCAAACCCTATATTTCCAACAAAATCCCATATATTTACACTAATTCCATGTTAAATCTACCAATAATCTATGTATTTAACTCAAAAGTGGGTAGAATTCAAGTCTGCCCAGGCCTGCTCTTTTTCATGATCGTAGAATTCAAGTGGCCATGCGAGAAAAGAGAGCTAAGTTCCGTATTAAATTTAAGTCTGCCCTGGCCCGTCCTTCTTTAAAGGCCTTGTGATCGCGAAGGCCAAGCTGGCTCAACCCAGCTCCTAACTTTACGCGTTCGCGACCTTAAGTCTCGCATTCGCAATGCCCAACATCCCCTGCCCTTCGTGTTTGCGGTCCCCCAGCTGCAGTCGCGAATCCAACAACCTTCCTGCCCACTCCGTCTTGAACCTTCTTCTCATTCACGAAGTTGTCTAGGCATTCACAAAGAAGGACTAGATCCTCTCTTGCATTCGCGAGGAATTCTTTGCGTTCGCAAAAAATAAAATCCCAGCCTTCCTCCATCCATCTTCGTGTTCTATCGCCCTATTGTTATTGTTCATTGTCTTGGTGAGGGAGAGTGTTAAAGCACGAAGGATGATGTCGTGCAACATTTTGTGAGTGAGTGATAATGTACGAAGGTGATGCCGTGCCGTTTCTATTGTGTCTTATAGTGAGGTTGAGAGTAAAAGCACGAAGGGTGATGTCGTGCCATGTTATGAGAGAGAGTTAATGCATGAAGGGTGATGTTGTGCCGTTTCTATTGTTTCTTATGATGAGGTTGAGAGTAAAAGCACGAAGGGTGATGCCATGCACTTTCCTTTACTGTGTTTACTTGTTTCTTTCTGTTAAAGATATATCGATTGATCATGTTCTCATTCCTGTTGTGATTCCTTGCCATGTAATCCCCTCAGCATGTCCCCTTCCCAATATTTCTTGCCTTGCTTCTTTAATTGTTGTTATGGTTATATACATTGATATATTGTACAGGTTTACTTGTAGGTGTCTTGTCCTAGCCTCATCACTACTTCGCTGAGGTTAGACTCGATACTTACCAGTACATGGGGTCGGTTGTACTCATACTGCACTCTGCACTTTCTGTGCAAAATTTGGTACTGGACCGAGTTGACCCTGTGTCTTGTTGCTGGCTTGATCCGTTTGGAGACCCAAGGTAGTCATGTTGGCGTCTGCAGGCCCTGGCGTCCCCTTCTATGCATTTCCTTTAGTGTTTCATTTGTATCAAAAACAGTTGTATTTCCTTCAGACATTTACTTGTAGTGAAATCTTAGAAGTTCGTGAATTGTGACTCCATATCCGGATGGTAGTAATTAATGCAGTGTTTTTATATTATTCTGCACTCACTATATTTTATCTTAACTAATTTCCTATTATATACTGAATGGAATAAGGATTGGCTTAATGATTCTCTAACGTTGGCTTGCCTAGCAAGTGAAATGTTAGGCGTCATCACGGTCCAGACGATGGGAATTTCGGGTCATGACAAGGTGGTATCAGAGCACTAGGTTGCCTACGTCTCACGATTCACGAGCATGCTTAGTAGAGTTTGGAGGATCAGTACGGAGACGTCTGTGCTTATCTTCCAGAGCCTATGAAGTTTAGGAACAAATTTCACTTATATTCTTCTCTGTCGTGCAATTTTGTTTTCTCAATACTAATTAAACTTTTCTCCTCTATTCTCTCACAGATAGCGAGAACACGTACCGCTTCCTCAGCTGAGCAGCAGCCAGAACCCCAATGGCAGCTCCTACAATGGGAGAGGTCAAGGCTGAGGTCGTGCCAGAGGCCGGGGCAAGGCTCAGCCTAGAGCTCGTGCAGCAGTACTAGCAATGGAGCCTCAGGTAGAGTTGGGTGAGGAGGTTCCAGCCCAGACTGTTCCTGCCGGACCAGCTCAGGTTCCAGAGGGGTTCATTGCCACCCCAGTACTTCAGGACGCTTTGGTCCGTTTGGTGGGCCTTATGGAGAGTGTGGCCCAGACTGGTGCATTTTCCATGGCACCAGCCGTCTCTCAGGATGGAGGAGGATCCCAGACTCCCACTACTCCCGCTCTGGAGCAGATAGCTCCCCAGTATCAAGCTCCAACAGCTCAGCTAGTCAGAGTAGTTCAGCCGGTTGTTGCGGCACGGGCCGAAGATGGGTCAGTTATGTCTTCTGAGGCTTTATAGAGATTGGACAAGTTCACCAAGCTCTTTCCAATTCACTTCAGTGGTGCTCCTTTATAGGATCCCCAAGAGTATCCCGACAGTTGTCACAAGGTTCTTCGGAACATGGGTAGAGTGGAGACCAACGGAGTCAATTTTGCTGCATTTCAGAAGAATGGTTCCGCCAAGAAATGGTGGAGAGATTATCTGTTGGCCAGACCAACTGGGTTGCCTGCTCCTACTTGGGACCCGTTTTCTCAGCTCTTCCTAGAGAGGTTTCTCCCTATCACATTGAGAGAGGAGCATCGTTGTCAGTTTGAATGTCTCCGGTAGGGCAGTATGACTATTACTCAGTATGAGACCCATTTTGTGGATTTGGCATGTCATGCTCTTATTCTATTTCCTACCGAGAGAGAGAGAGAGTGTGAGGAGATTATTGATGGACTTGCTCAACCTATCAGATTGCAGATGGCTAAGGAGACTAGGAGTGAGATTTCTTTTCAGGCGGCTGCCAATGTTGCCAGGCGAGTCGAGATGGTTTTAGCTCAGGGTAGTGGTCAGGGGTCTGACAAGAGGCCTCGTCACTCCGATGGATTCAATGGAGCCACATTTGGAGGCCGAGGTACTTATGGCAGAGGCCATCCTCCCAAGTCGTTTCATTCAGCACTCCAGGCATCCCACGGTGCCTCAGGTGGTCGTGGCCTTCAGATGCATTATTTCGACCAGCTAGCCTACAGTGCACCACCAGCCCTTTTTAGTGCACCTCCGCTCCAGAGTTTTCAGGGTGGTTACTTAGGTCGACAGGCTCAGTTTCATGGCCAGCAGTCACTGCAACCGAGGTCTTGCTATACTTGAGGTAATCCGGGGCACATTGCTAGATTTTGCTTTCGGACATCGGGCAGCTCACAGCATCAAGGTTCTCATGCCATGGTTGCAGCATAAGTTGCTGCACCACCTGCTCAGCCAACCAGAGGCAGGGGTCAGGCAGCTAGAGGTAGGAGCCAGACTGTTAGAGATGGAGGTCAGGCCGTTAGAGGTGGAGATCAGCCAGCTAGAGGTCATCTTAAGGACGTAGTTCAGGGTGGTGGGGCCCATCCTCGGTGTTATGCTTTTCCAGCCAGGCCTGAGGCTGAGACATCTGACGTAGTTATTACAAGTATTGTTTCAGTTTGCAGTAGGGATGCTTTAGTTCTATTTGATCCGGGATCTACTTACTCCTATGTGTCATCCTACTTTGCTTCTTATTTGGTCGTGCCTCGTGATTCTTTGAGTGCTCCTATGTATGTATCCACACTAGTGGGAGATGCTATTTTTGTAGATCATGTTTATCGTTCGTGTGTGGTCACCATTGGGAGCCTTGAGACTCGTGTAGATCTTCTACTTTTCGACATGGTTGATTTTGATGTCATTCTGGGTATGGGTCGGTTGTCACATTATCATGCTATATTAGATTATCATGCCAAGATGGTGACCTTAGCCTTGTCGGGGTTGCCTCGATTAGAGTGAAGAGAGACTCCTGGCCATTCTACCAGCAGGGTTATCTCTTATGTGAAGGCTCAGCATATGGTCGAGAAGGGGTGTCTAGCTTATTTGGCTTAAGTCCGCTAATTTAGTGCGGAGGTTCCTTCCATAGATTCAGTGCCGGTTGTTCGTGAGTTTCTAGAGGTATTTCCTGCAGACCTGTCGGGGATGCCACCCGATAGGGATATTGATTTTTGCATTGATTTGACTCCAGGCACTCAGCCCATTTGCATTCCGCCATACCACATGGCCCCGCCAGATTTGTAAGAATTAAAGGAACAGTTGCAAGATCTGCTTGATAAGGTCTTTATTAGACTTAGTGTCTCGCCTTGGGGTGCACCTGTGTTGTTTGTGAAGAAGAAATATGGATTGATGAGTATGTGTATAGATTATCGGCAGTTGAACAAGGTCACCATCAAGAACAAATATCCATTGCTGAGGATTGATGATTTATTTGATCAGTTTCAGGGTGCCAAGGTGTTTTCGAATATTGATTTGCGATCTGGCTACCATCAGTTGAGGATTAGGGCATCCGATGTCCCTAAGACAGCTTTTCGGACTCGGTATGGGCATTATGAGTTTCTAGTGATGTCATTTGGGCTGACAAATGCCCCAGCAGCATTCATGGATTTGATGAACCGTGTGTTCCAGCCCTACTTGGATTCCTTCATGATTGTGTTTATTGATGATATCTTGATCTACTCCCGCAGCCGAGAGGAGCATGAGAAGCATCTTCAGATCGTTCTTCAGACTCTGAGAGACAACCAGTTATATGCTAAGTTCTCAAAATACGAGTTTTGGTTGAGTTTAGTTGCTTTCTTGGGTCATGTTGTATCAGCATAGAGAATTCAGGTGGATCCTAAGAAGATTGAGGTAGTTCAGAACTAGCCTATACCCACATCACCTATAGAGATTCGTAGTTTCTTGGGAATGGCGAGTTATTACCGTTGGTTTGTGGAGGAGTTCTCATCTATATCAGCCCTATTTACTAGGTTAACCCAGAAGGGTGCCCCATTCAGATGGTCGGATGAGTGTGAGGCGAGCTTTCAGAAGCTCAAGACTACTTTGACTACGACACAGGTATTGGTGTTACCCTCAGGTTCAGGATCCTATACAGTATATTTTGATGCATCTCGTATTGGTCTGGGTACGGTATTGATGCAGGGTGGCAAGGTTATTACATATTCTTCGGGGCAATTGAAGGTTCACCAGAAGAATTACCATGTTCATGATCTAGAGCTGGCAGCCATTGTTCACGCGTTGAAGATTTGGAGGCACTATCTTTACGGCATGCCATGTGAGGTATTCACGGATCATCGGAGCTTACGGTATTTGTTCAAGCAGCAGGAGCTCAATTTGAGGCAGAGGAGGTGGTTGGAGCTATTGAAAGACTATGATATTACCATATTGTATCGTTCCGGGAAGGCCAATGTGGTGGCCAATGCTTTGAGTAGAAAGTCAGCTAGTATAGGTAGCATTGCATATATTCTAATTGGAGAGAGACCGCTTGCACTAGATGTTTAGGCTTTGGCCAATCAGTTCCTGAGGTTGGATGTTTCTGAGCTCAGTCGTGTTCTATCTTGTATTGTCGCTCGGTCTTTGTTGTTTGAGCGCATCAGGGAGCGGCAGTATGATGACCCTCATTTTCTTGTCCTTAGGGACACGGTGCGGTACGGTGATGCCAATCAGGTTACTATTGGAGATGATGGAGTTTTGAGGATGCAGGGTCATATTTGTGTGCCTAATGCGGATGGACTTCGTGAGTTGATTCTTGAGAAGTCCCATAGTTCTCGGTATTCTATCCATTTGGGCGCCACCAAGATGTATCAGGACTTACGGCAGCATTATTCGTTGAGGAAAATGAATAAGGATATAGTTGCTTATGTAGCTCGGTGTCTAAATTGTCAGCAAGTAAAGTACGAGCATCAGAAACCTGGTGGTTTGCTTCAGAAGATAGAGATTCCTGAGTGGAAGTGGGAGTGTATCACTATGGGTTTCGTTGTTGGACTCCCGTGGACTCAGAGGAAGTTCGATGTCGTTTGGGTCATTGTCGACAGGCTGACTAAGTCAGCGCACTTCATTCCTGTTGCAGTTTCATATTCTTCAGGGCGGTTGGCCAGGATTTATATCTGCGAGATCGTCCGTCTTCACGGTGTGCCCATGTCTATCATATATGACCGAGATACGCAGTTCACCTCGCACTTATGGAGGGCAGTACAGCGTGAGTTGGGCATGCGGGTTGAGTTGAGCACAGCGTTTCATCCTCAGACAGATGGATAGTCCAAGCGCACTATTCAGATCTTGGAGGATATGCTCCGCACATGTGTTATAGACTTCGGAGGATCGTGGGATCTGTTCTTGCCCCTTGCAGAGTTCGCCTACAATAACAGCTACGAGTCGAGCATTCAGATGGCTCCCTATGAGGCACTATATGGTAGACCGTGTCGATCTCCGGTCGGATGGTTTGAGGCGGGGGAGGCTCGGTTATTAGGTACAGATTTGGTACAGGATGCCTTGGACAAGGTCAAGATTATTCAGGATAGACTTCGCTCAACTCAATCCAGGCAGAAGAGTTATGCCGACCGTAGAGTTTGTGATGTTGCATTCATGGTCGGGGAGAGAGTGTTGCTTTGGGTATCACCCATGAAGGGTGTAATGAGGTTCGAAAAGAAGGGCAAGTTGAGCCCTAGGTATATCGGGCCTTTTGACATTTTGGAGAGAGTGGGAGAGGTGGCTTACAGGCTTGCGTTTCCATCGGGGTTCTCATCAGTTCATCCGGTGTTCCATGTGTCCATGCTTCGAAAGTATCACAGCGATCCGTCCATGTGTTAGATTTCAGCTATGTCCAGTTGGACAAGGATTTGACTTATGAGGAGGAGATGGTGGCCATTCAAGCCCGGCAGGTTTGGTAGTTGAGATCAAAGAGTTATCCTTCAGTTCGAGTGCAGTGGAGAGGTCAGCCCATCGAGGCAGCTACTTGAGAGTCCGATTCGGATATGTGGAGTAGATATCAACATCTTTTCACCAGCCAAGGTACTTTTCTAAGTTCGTTCAAGGACGAACGATTGTTTTAGAGGTGGAGAATGTGATGACCCGACAGATTATCTTATATTTTAGAACCTAATTCTGTATTTTGAGGTTTCAAAAACCTCATCTTAGCCTTTCTCGATTTGCGTGCGCAGTCCGAGTGTTCCTCCGAAAGGCCTATATGTTAAAAACTAATAAAAAGAGAATTTTTGCCTTAAAAAAATTAATTTAAGTTGACTTCGGTCAATATTTTTAGAAAATGGACCTGGACACGTGTTTTGACGGTCCCGGTAGGTCCATATCGTAATTTGGGACCTGGGCGTATGCCCGGAATATAATTTCAAGGTCCCTATCTCGAGATATGGAATTTTGATGATAAATTAAAAGTTTGGAAGTTTAAGGATTTTTAGAATTGACTGATGTTTGGTCTTGTTGATACCGGGTCCGTATTTTGGTTTTGGATCCCGGTACAGGTCCACTATAATATTTAAGACTTGACTGTGAAATTTGGTGAGAAACAGATTTGATTTGACGTGATCGGACGTCCGGTTATGAAAATAGAAGTTTTAAAGCTTTCTTGAAAATTTCATTTGATTTGGTGTTCAATTCGTAGTTTTAGGTGTTATATTGGTGATTTAATCGCGCGAGCAAGTTCGTATGATGTTTTAGGACTTGTGTGCATGTTTGGTTTGAAGCACCGAGGGCTCAGGTGAGTTTCGGATAGGCTACAGGATGTTTGGACTTAGAAAATCTGGTATTTTTGCTGCAGCAGCTGTTCTGGTGTGTTCTTCTTCGCGTTCGCGAAAATACTCTCGCGAACGCGAAGGGTAAGCTAGTCAGGGTGAGTATTTCCTCTTCGCGAAAGCGAAGGCCTGGTCGCGAACTCGGAGTGATGGGGGATTTACCCTTCGCGAACGCGTCTAGCTCATCGCGAACGCGTAGCATTTGGGACATGGGGGAGGAGTTAGACTTTCCTTCTACGCGAACGCGAGCACGGGCTCGCGAACGCAAAGGCCTGGGGGCATAGCCTTCGTGAACGTGGTGGGGGTTTCGCGATCGTGTAAGCCTAGCAGGGAAGCTCTTCGTGAACGTGACAGTGTCCCCGCGAACGCGATGAACACTTTCGCCCAGTTCATAAAATAGTCCCAAAACGGGACTTAAGCCATTCTTTCACATTTTCAAAAGCTAGACGGCCTAGAGCTGATTTTCAAAAGACATTTTCTTCCCCAAAGTGTTGATAAGTTATTCTAAACCATATTCTTTCAATTTCCCATTACATTTTATGAATTTTCAACCTAAAATCTAAGGTTTTCATGGTGGAGTTGGGGATTTTTGGGTAGAAACTAGGGATTTCAAAATTTGGGGATTTAGACCTCAAATTGAGGTCGGATTACAAAACCGATTATATATCCGGGCTCGGGGTGAATGGGTAAATGGATTTTGGTCCGAACCTTAGATTTTGACCAAGCGAACCCTGGTCGGTTTTTGACTTTTTGAGGGAAATTTTGGGAAATCTAAATTTATGCAATGTAATTGATTCCTTTAGCAATATTTGATATTATTGAGTCATTTTTGAATAGATACGAGTGGTTTGGAGGTGGATTTTAGAGGAAAAGTTGTCGGAGCGAGGTAAGTGTCGTGGTTAACCTTGGCTTGAGGGATTAGGCATTATTCGCTTATTTTCTACGTGTTTGTATGTTGAGTACAACATATAGGTGAGGTGACGAGTACCTTTGCGTTGTTGTCGAGTCATAACATGTGAGTGAGTCTTATTATTGTAAATGTGGTATTCCTTGATCATATTGTTCATGATTAGACTAGCTATTCGTTATGTTGAACCACTCTTATTATGTTTTACGGAAATTGGTATTGATTGAGTATTGACTCAAAGTTGAGGTTAGTAACGTGGAATTGAATGTTGAAGTAAGACTTGTTCTTGATATTTCTATCTCTCTGTTGTTATTGTTCATTGTCTTGGTGAGGGAGGGTGTTAAAGCATGAAGGGTGATGCCGTGCAACGTTTTGTGAGTGAGTGATAATGCACGAAGGGTGATGCCGTGCCATTTTTATTGTTTCTTATAGTGAGGTTGAGAGTAAAAGCACGAAGGGTGATGTTGTGCCATGTTATGAGAGAGAGTTAATGCACGAAGGGTGATGCCGTGTCATTTCTATTGTTTCTTATGGTGAGGTTGAGAGTAAAAGCACGAAGGGTGATGCCATGCACTTTCCTTTACTGTGTTTACTTGTTTCTTTCTGTTAAAGATATATCGATTGATCATGTTCTCATTCCTGTTGTGATTCCTTGCCATGTAATGCCCTCAGCATGTCCCCTTCCCAATATTTCTTGCCTTGCTTCTTTAATTGTTGTTATGGTTGTATACATTGATATATTGTACAGGTTTACTTGTAGGTGTCTTGTCCTAGCCTCGTCACTACTTCGCTGAGGTTAGACTCGATACTTACCAGTACATGGGGTCGGTTGTACTGATACTGCACTCTGCACTTTCTGTGCAAAATTTGGTACCGGACCGAGTTGACCCTGTGTCTAGTTGCTGGCTTGATCTGTTTGGAGACCCAAGGTAGTCCTGTTGGCGTCCGCAGGCCCTGGCGTCCCCTTCTATGCATTTCCTTTACTGTTTCATTTATATCGAAAACAGTTGTATTTCCTTCAGACATTTACTTGTAGTGAAATCTTAGAAGTTTGTGAATTGTGACTCCAGATCCGAGTGGTAGTAATTAATGCGGTTTTTTTTATATTATTCCGCACTCACTATATTTCATCTTAGCTAATTTGTTGTTATTTACTGAATGCAATAAGGATTGGTTTAATGATTCTCTAACATTGGCTTGCCTAGAAAGTGAAATGTTAGGCGCCATCATGGCTCCGACGGTGGGAATTTCGGGTCGTGACACCAACATAGGGCATTTGTTCTTCTTGTGCCCCCTCTTTCCATAGCCGTAACATATTTTAAGAGTCATCCAACATGTTCCCAAGTGACGTTTCTTGCAAGTCAAACATTCTGGTTCATTAGCACCAACAACCCTCTTTTGTTTCTTAGATTCTCTCACCACAAGATCCGGTGGTGCGGTGGCATTGGTAGGAACAAGGACACATACCTTAGTAACAAGTTCTTCCAATCCCTCCACGGCTCGATGCATTCTCCCAGCGAACTCTTGTGTAATCTCCCACAGATTCAATGGAGCGGTCATTCCCTCCTCCTTCTTCCCAAACTCATCCATAAATAAAGAGGAGATGCACTCCATTAATCAAACACTGAAACGATTTTATTAACAACTCCCATTTCATTTTCATTAGCAGTTTCATTCATAATTTCCAAAATATTACAACACTAAAGATATAATGAAAAACATGTTTGCCAAATACCACAATTTCTAGTTCAATTTCCCACATTAAACACCACCCACAACCTGTCTACGGAGCCTCTAAGTACAACTGAAAAGTAATATGGAAATGCCAGCAACAAGGCCCCGGCTATATCTCAAAACCCTAGTACAACATCAAATGATATCATGCCTGAAATAGAGTAGGGCTAACCAAAACCTGTTGAATAGGGAGTAACTGCTAACGATGACCAAATTTCCCGCTAATGAACCACCTGTATCCATTGAAGATGCAGCGCCCCCGGCAAAAGGGACGTTAGTACATATGGAATAGTACTAGTATGAATGACAAAACACCCTCTCAATAGAATGATAAATAATACAATAAAGAACAGTCATAATATCAGTGGAAGCCACAAACAATATCAAACCTCAAATTAGGATCAAGACAATGTTCAAATAAATTTTCCTATCTTAAATTGGGCTATCTTTAGTACCAACATGACACCATTCACAATACCAATGTTCACAATTTCAATACCACCGTACTTTTAGCACGGAGTCCGATCACGACCCGATCGGCAAGGCCATCTCATTCAAGACATCATCCTTTTTATACCAATCATCTCATTTCATACTTCTTTCACATCTTTTCATTTCATTGGCACTAGTGGCCACAATTATAAAATTATTCTTGGCACGTCGGCCGTATTTAGTATTTCATGCTCACCTTTTTCACTTTCAAACATCATCATAATTATCAACAACAAGGCATTTCAAATCAAAGTTTGTTGTACATATATGAGCAATTAAGAGTCTTAGGCACATAGAGATGTTGCACAAAATTTGGCATAATAGCCTTCGTTTGGACTTGACTTGAAGTCGAAATATTTTTAGTGCATAACCCATACTTTGAACACATTCTCAAATGATAACATAACATAATAAAAATATTTGGGGTACATATTGAACATATATCTTTCAACACAAGCTTATTCAAAATAGATTACTTTATAATGAACAACTCAGAAATTACATGAATATCGTGGGATTCAGTTCTAAGAGAGGAGTTTAGCTAACGTACCTCACTTTGAGCTTTCCTTAAATTACTACAATGTTCCGGAAATCCTAGCAATCCCAATCTATTTTGAGACATAACAAAATTGAACACAAATTAGGAAGATATTCATGGTTTCAGCTCATTTGAGCATTTCATCAAACACTAGGTGTGCAAATTTGACTACAAGGTTCTTCTACAAGATTTTCTTCATTCCACAACCCAATATTTACCCATTTGAGCTCAACAGTATTCTCACAAATCTTATTGGTACATGCATGTATACATAATACTCTCACAACCAAGAATCATACTCCTAATCACCCATCTTTTACCCCAAACGCTAAATTGAAGAGTAGGGTTAGAACCTTACCTCTTGAGTGAAGATATTGTGAGATTTCCTTGTTGGGTTTCGAAGCTTGGACAAGATCTTGATGAACAAATCACTTGAGCTTCTTCCTCTCTCTAGAACCCTCTCACTTCTCTCTAAAAATATCATATTTTTGCCTTCAAAATGAGCCTCAAATACTATTTATCAAAATGGGGTCGGGTTATAAAATTCAGAAAAATTGAGCTCTGAAACACAATCTGCGGTCGCATAGTGACCGCATAATGGATATGCAGTCCGCAAATCGGCCGCACAATTGGTGTCCCTAAACTGGAAAATATGGGTTGGGTTTGCGGTAGTTCTGGAGCCCGCATACCTGTTCTGCAGTTGCATAATGCACCGCAAACCTATTCTGCGATGGCATAATGCACAACATACTTTCCTCCAAACTTGCCCAACTACTGCTTCACTCTGCGGCCATTCTGCGGCCCGCAGAGTGATTCTGAAACGCAGAAATGTCTTTTTCTTCCAAAACATTTTCCTTTACTCCCAGTACATTGTTCAGCCCAAAAGGTCCGAGCCGCGGCGAGCATCGGCACCATGAAACCTTAAATTTCTTTGCGAAACTTTACGGGGCCTTACAATCTTAATATGATTATATCCAGAGTAAGTATCAAGGAAACACATTAGCAAGTGTCCAACCTTAACATCAATCATTTGTTAAATGTTTGGCAATGGAAACGATTCTTTAGGGCATGCCTTATTTAAATCTTTATTATCTACACACATCCTAAATTTGTTATTCTTTTTGGGTACTACGACTGTGTTAGCTAACCATTCCGGATACTTTACCTCCCGGATTGAACCAATATTAAGTAGTCTGGTTACCTCCTCTTTAACAAAAATGTTCTTGACCTCGGCTATTGGGTATTCCTTTTACCTTAACGGTGGGAAGTTTCAATCCAGACTCAGCTTGTGGACCGCCACCTCCAATTGGATACATGTCATATCCGAATGCGACCAAGCAAAGCAGTCTACGTTATCTTTGAGAAAATAAATAAATCCTGACCTGAGCTTGGGATTTAAACACATTCCCAAATGGAACTTCCTTTTCAGAAACTCCTCGAACAAAGCCACTTACTCGAGTTCCTCTGCGGTTGACTTAGTGGCATCTCTCTCCTTTGGTACCTGAAAATTTCTTAGAACCTGATAGGATTCCGATGACTCTTCACCCTTACCTTATGCATTCGAAAAGGGAGAAGGCATTGGTTCCTGTAATTGCTACTTATTGAACTCTTTTTCCTTGCTGCCGAAAACGGTCTCTGCATTCATCTCCTTCGCTGCTAGTTCGTCCACTCTTATTTTCTTGATTCCCTCCGGCGTTAGAAATTTTAACAACTGGTGATATATTGAGGGAACAACCTTCATCTCGTGTATCCACGGCCTACCGAGGATTACATAATAACATATATTGTTGTCCACCACTTCGAATAGAGTGGTCTTCGTTACTCTTTCGGCATGTGTGGGCAACAAAATCTCTCCTTAGGTTGTCAAACTTGTCAAGTTGAATCCATCTAAGAGTTTTGTCGCTGGAATAGTGCTCCCGGTCAGTTTCACTCTTTCCAGAACTCTCCATTGAATGATGTTGGCTGAAATTTCTGGATCAACCAAAACACGCTTAATTTTAAAATCTAAAACATTGAGAGAGATTACCAAAGCGTCGTTGTATGGCATAAGGAGTTCGCCAGCGTCTTCCTCTGTGAAAGTGATGTCATCTTCTGCGACTTCCCGAAAACTCTTGTTATGAGTCACTGATATCTTCATTTTCTTTGCTGCTGAAAAGGTTACACCATTGACTTTATTTCCTCCGAAAATCATGTTGATAGTTAGCCGAGGGGAGCCTTCTGCTACCTTCGAAGGCTCTGTATTGTCACAGCTTCGGCCATATTTGTTCTTGGCTCGGTCACTTAAAAACTCCTTGAGATTTCCATTCTTAAACAATGTCGCCACCTCCTTATGAAGATGTCGGAAGTCCCCAGTTCTATGGCCATGAGTCCCATGGTATTCGCACCATAAACTGGGATCCCTCTTACTAGGATCTGATCGGATTGGCTTCGGGAACCGTGCTTCTTTGTTATTACTCATTGTCGATACCAACTCTACTAAGCTGATGTTAAAGTTGTAATCTGATTACCTAGGATACGTAGAGTCTCGGGGCCCTAGCACCTCCTTCTCCTGTAACGATCTACTGTTCCGGCCCCGATCGACTCTTCTATCCGGAGCAAACTTATCCGATGACCGAAACCCTTTGCTACTATGACATTTGGTTCTTTCATACGGCAGAAAATGACCTCTAGAGGACCGCCGATCCGCATCAAAGTTGCTTTTAAACTTGTCCTGGTTTTTGTCTTGATCCCGTCCCTTGGTTGATATCGCGAACCCGAGTTGATCGTCTTTTATCCTTATTTTTAACTCATATCGGTTATGGACATTCGCCCATGTGGTTTCTTGATACTCAATCAGGTTTTCCTTCAGCTTTTGGGAGGCATCGGAACTCCGCGGATTTAGACCTTTGTGAATGCCTCAGCTGCCCACTCATCTAGTACCGCCGATAACAACATCCTCTCTTTCTGAAACCGGATCATGAATTCACGTAGCAGTTCAGGCTCGCCCTATGCAATCCTGAATATATCTATATTTCTTGCTTGAACCTTCCTTGCCACATCATGAGCCTTAATGAACGAGTCTGCAAGTATCTGAAAAGAGTCAATTGAATGCTCGGGTAAGAGAGAATACCATGTTAGGGTCCCCTTTGTGAGGGTTTCACCAAACTTCTTTAACAAGACTGACTCGATCTCATGTTGAGCCAAATCGTTCCCTTTCACAACAGTGGTGTAGGTTTTGATGTTCTCTTATGGATTCGAAATCTCATCATATTTTGGTATGTCCAGCATCTTGAACCTCATTAGAATTAACTCTGATTCTGCGCTCGGGTTAAATGACAATTGTGTGTAGTTTTTCAAATTTGTGCCTTTTAGTACTGGTGGTGCGCCCGGAATCTGATCTTTCCGAGCATGAAACTCCTTCGCATTTTGATCCATTCGTTCATTTATTTTTCTCATAAACCTCATGAGCTCTGTTTTGAAGGGATCATTCCCGATATTATTCCCAGATCCGCTACCGATCCCTCCGGCTTCGTCGAAACCGACTTCCCCTTGAGGTGTTGTTATCGACCCTCTAGCCATTTGGTTTGTAGGAACACTGGGAGGAATCGGGCTCCTTCCATTCGCGTTATTTGAGGTGCCTGACGATGCTTGTTTTAACTCTGTCATCACCTCATCCTGTCTTGAGAGGTGTTTCATGATTGATTTTTGATGTTCTCTTAGGATTCTAACTGTTTCCACGACATGTTCTTCCTCCGCATCATTGGGTGTCCGTTCCCGCACATGCCGGAGATACTGGCCATCTCGAACTGGGGTTATCTCATCCTCTTCGTTGCGAGTCTCACTGATTGAGTTATCGTGTTGGGACAATTCTTCGCGCCCCTCAACATTGTGTGTGGTGTTGATATCATTAGCTTCCATATCTTTTTTCACTAAGGAAAGAATCAAAACAAGTTAGTAATAAACGTATGGATCAAAGCAATTATGCAATTGTCTAAGCCCCACGGTGGGCACCAAACTGTTTACTCGCAAAACGGTATAATTAAATTTATTACGTGGTTTATAGACAAGCAAATTGATTTGATCCAAAAATGATAAAGAGATAAGATTAAAATTGATAATTTAATTGAATAAGATGACAAGCCTAGCTCTGAACCCAGCGTTTCCGAGAGCACAAATAGAAATAACGACAAAGTGAGAGAAAGTTGTTAATTTCATAGCAAAATAGTAAAATATAGTCTTTTATGTATAGAATGTTTCATGTATCTACAATGGCTACTCAGTCTACTATTTAAAGCTTTACCTAGGGAAACAACATCCTAGGATCAAGCTCCTCTTAAATGAAAATAAAAGAGTCATTGATGAACGTGTAACGGCAGCCCGTGAATGTAAATATTCTCTGCAATGGTCGCCCATTTAATGTTAGTAAATATTTCATCATTGAATGTTATCCGATGACAAACCCTTGACCTTCTCCCGTCGACTATGCTCCATTCGGGATTTATCCGATATCAATTACATTTGTTGTATTCGGTATTGGTTGTTCCCTGACTTGCCATTTGCCTATCTTCGGTTCCACGTGTCATGTTACCATTCGACCATCCGTTATAAACTAATTTTACCCCATATATCCACGTTTGATTTGGATAAAATTATGGTATAACTTATTTCGGGATTGTAGTAGCTTTTTATTCCTATAAGAGAATAAAATAATTAATTCCAGAATAATTAATCGTAGAATAACTTATTTCCCAACCAAATGATTTTAATTGATAAAAGGGCAAATGACGTCATTTTAGGATTCAAATTCAAAGCTTATCAACCAAAAAGTACAATATGGCTTTGCAAACAAGAAAAAAGGCCCTTTGCAGCATATGAGGCACGTGTATGACAGATTGTAAGCATCTTAAAGCAGACCTCTCCTGAAAAAGCCCCGACAATTATTTTGATTTGAATTTTGGTATCTTTTCACTGTACTTATCTTTGCCCTCATGGTCCATAAAAATGGCCGCGCCACAGGCAGATCTGAAGTACATTTATTAATAGAAGTTTCCTTTAATGAGGAGACTGGAACCTAGTGTTAGGCTGTTGGCTTTACTTTTTTTTTTTCTTTAAATCCTTCCCAATATAGTAGAATTTATAATGTTTTCATATTTTTTCTCCACCTCGTGAATGAATGTGGTTTTTCCGAGCAAGTCTTACTTGTCCTCTCTTGGGTTTACGTACTTTAGAGGTAACTCTAGCATTCATATGGACTCTCACCTATAGCTGAATGCTTTAATTCTAAAAGCAATTCGTTTAGAGAGCAATTTATTCTCATTTATCTAAATCTTGATTGAAGAATTATTTGACTATAATTATTTAGAGACGGTTTAGGAAATATTCAGTGGAACAATAAGCGTTTTAACACAATTATTATTAGAAACATGCAACAATCTCGTGCTGAAACATTGGATTTATTCGAACTCAATTTTTGACTTGAAGTATAAATTTTTATGTGAAAACTCATAAAACTTACAATAAATATTAAATTTAATTTTATAATTTTAACAATACAATAAGGTCACCACTTAGCACTTTAAAAGATAATCCATTAAGCTCCCGTTTGACCATAAAATTTGGAGCTTTATTCAAATTTTATTTTGACATATCTGTTTTTTTATAGATTTTAACTATTTTTGGCAGCTTTTAAAAATATAATCCTTAAATTTCAAAAACAGCTCTAGAATAGTTTTTAAATTTTTATATTCACAAAATTTAAATTCTTTTCAAAAGTAAAATGCATATCCTAACACAATTTTAATTTTGTATCTCATTTTTAAGAATTATTTTTTCAAGTTTAAACCGAATCTATATGAGTTAAAATTGTGCCATCTAATTTATTTTGTTTCTGAAGTGAAAAAAAGAGTCATTGAAAGTGGAGAAGCCAAGGACTTTGTCATATATAAAGTATACCCACTAGTCTCGGAAATTGAAAAACACTGCATGAGTTGAGCAATCTGTGGTCAAATCTTACTCTTCTGGGGACAAACAATTCATTTACACTACACATTAATCTATACTAACTAAGAAACTGAGCCAATTAACTGGCAGCCACAACCATTCCCAAAGAAAACCCCAATTTTCAGGCTATCGTTTATTGTGCTGATTACATAAGTTAGTAGCAGTTGCAATAAAAGTTTAAGCAACCAAGAATTAATATGTGAAGAATATCTTGCTAGACAGAAGCCTTGCCAAACTTACTGTGCAGTAAAAAAAGCTTCCTAGTCTCTCAGTCTTCTATTGTCTGTCATGATTCTCTTCTACACGTTCCTCAAATAAAATTAATTAAGATAAAATTTTGATTACTTTATTTTTATTCATGTTTTAATATTTAATCTTTCTTTATTGGTATTTAAACAAAATTAAATATTTGTAGTCTTCAAGAATAATTATTGCTAAGTATAAAAAATATATATATAATTAATTTTGTTAACTTCTAAAGTAACAAATAATTTGAGATAACTATTTTTAATAACCACGACTGTTAGTATGAGATGTAAGGAATAGTAATGTTACTCTTTCCGGTCCATAATAAGTGACATTTTAGTCTTTAGCACACCCCTTAAGAAAATACTATAATTCCTAGAAGAAGAAACAAAGATATTTTTACTAAATTGCCATTAATTAAAATTTATACTCCTTCCGTTCGCATGTATTATTTACTATGATACCCATATTAATTGATTCATATTTTTAATGAATTTGAAAAAATGATTTGAAATGAGTAATTAATATTGTGGTATAACAGGAAAAAGAAATCCAGAAATTTAAATAATAGCAAATCCAGAAAAATACAGTTAATCTCTTCTTAATTAGGTAAAAAAGACATTTATTTTGGATTAAAATAACTTGTTATGGACATCAGGGAGTAGCTTATATCATCATTAACCTGCCCCAACAAAACTGAATTTCCCAAGAAGAAAGAACAAAAGATAGAACCAAAGTCATAAGAAAACTAAAAAAAGGAGAATGAAACAAGAGAAAACAAGCAAGAATGGGAAATGTGAGTAATTAAGCTGGCAGACAAAATCTGGTATTTAAATTGGGAGAAAGATAGAAGAGCAGGTCTATACACTCAAAAGTTTCAAACATGTGCAGCAACTGGAGTCGGACCAGAAGCCTATTGGGAATTCCTTCAATATCAAAAAGCAAAAACGCCAAAGGGAAATTGTGAAGGATAAAGTTCATTACTAGTTACTCAGATACCTTGCCAGTCTTACTGTACAATGAAACACTTCCTAACAAAAGCTGGCCTAAATCATAAACCAACCCCCAATGAAACTGAATTTATCAAAAAAGAAAGAACAAAAAACTAGCCCAACCTCATTTTAAAACTAAATAAAGAGAATCAAACTAAAATAACAAACACCCTCCAATAGAAGAAACATTTTAGATCATATGCTGAGAAGGTCAGGTTGAGGAGATTGAGGTGGTGGCTGATGGTTATCTTTTGTGTTTCCGGGAGCTGAAGTTGGTGACTCCGATGCAGGGGCAGATGATGGGAGCGACTCGGTGATTGTTGAATCTCCTGATTTTGTATTAGATGGAGTGGGAAGCTCAGTTAGTATTTGCACAACCTCGCGCATTTTGGGGCGTTCAACAGCCTGCTCTTCGACACATAGCATTGCGACATAGAACACATGAATCACCTCATGAAGGGGAACTGTTGAGAGTCTTGGATCAAGGATTTTGAGAACTCCTTCCTTTTTCCCTTCCGTCATTTTTCTTACCCATTGGACTATGTCAACGCCATCACCAAATTCTCCAACTGGCTTTCTCCCACTCACCAATTCTAACAGAACCACACCAAAGCTATATACATCACTCTTCTCATCAACCTTGAGTGTATAGGCATATTCTGCAATAAAGAAATGAAAAAGGATTTAGGCATATAATTAGAAAAAACTATGTTGCAGTTGAAAATAAGCAAATTTATTAGTCAAGATTAAACAATTTAAGCCCAAAACAGCAAGAAGTCAGATTTGAATGCAAGTACTGGTTATTTATTAGTGTTCTTTGCTTCAGAGAGTAAGTTAGATTTGAAATGCTTTTCAGTAGCATAAGTACTCAAAAAATCGAATCACCAACAGCCAAGTAGGTAGGTGATTTTCAAAGTTGCAAGGCCTATCTATGAACATAGGCATTCATCTTTTACTAGATTGTTCTAGTTAACTACGGATCAAGGACTGCTATACGAGTCATGTCATTCGTGTTATAACAAGGAGATTGATCATTGCCGGCTAAACAAGGACCAACGACTACCACATAGCAGCACACTTATGCTGTATAAACACTTGAAGAGACTGAAAAATTGCAATCTTAGTTGACAACTTACAGTCATTTTAAACTAGTTTTGAATGGAACACACTTCAGAATCAACATTAAGAAGATGTGAAGATTTCGATAGCATACCTGGCGCTATATAGCCATAAGAACCAGCAATAGCAGACATGCATTCTGATGTTCCTGAATCTTGCAAGAACTTGGCAAGTCCAAAATCAGCAACATGTGCTTCGAAGTTGGAATCCAGAAGAATGTTGTTTGACTTTACGTCACGATGGAGGATCAAAGGCGAGCAATCGTGATGGAGATAACAAAGGCCTTTCGCAGCCTCCAACGCTATCTTATACCTAGTATCCCAATGCAAATGACCTCCCTTCTTTCCATGAAGCATTTCACCAAGACTCCCATTAGGCATGTACTCATAAACCAAAAGATTCGTTTCATGATTTGAGCAAAATCCCAATAATCTAACAATATGTCTATGCCTAATCCTCCCAAGTGTCTGTATCTCAGCATTAAACCCATGATCATGTGAAGAACCACGGCTCATAGCCGGCAACCTTTTAACAGCAACCTGTTCACCATTTGGCATTACACCCTTGTACACTATACCAGCACCTCCTTTCCCAATAATGTTATCCTCTTTAAAACATCCCAAAACATCATCACAAGCAAAATCCAGGCGTTGGAACGCGGTAAGCTTCCAAGCACGAGCCTCGCTCGCCTTCCTTAAAGATCGAGCCTTTATAATCGCAGCAACAGCAAACACAATCGAGCAAGCAAGTAACCCAATAACAAGCAAAAGCTTCATAGAAGGCGAAAATGTGCCTCTCTCGTGCGGTTCACTAACCCCATCAACTACACCTTCTTTGCAAGGACCCAAATAGGGTCCGCAAAGATCTTGATTACCCAAAAATGAGGTATAATTAAAATAACTGAATTGACCAGTACCAGGAACTAATCCAGATAAGTTGTTATATGAAAAATCAACAGAAGTTAAACTCTGCATTGCAGAAATAGATGCAGGAATACTTCCAACTAAATGGTTTCGCGACACGTTCAAGTAATTCAGTATCCTCATACCAGTGATCTCAGTAGGAATCTCACCTGATAGCTTATTCCTACTAAGATCAATAAAAGTTAAAGCCTTGCAATTACTTATCTCGGGTGGAATCGGGCCCGAAAACCCATTACCACTGAAATCCATTTTAGACAACTGCTGTAATTTCCCTATTTCAGCTGGAATTCGGCCCGAAAACTTGTTCCCATCAAGAAGCAACTTCTGAACACCACTAAAACTCCCAATACTGGACGGCAAACGCCCAGTGAGTCGATTATTCGAAAGACTAATCTGCCCAAGACTAGCTGACACAGAACCAGTCACTGGAAATGTACCAGTAAGAAGATTATCTTGAAGTTCAACTTGTGTCAACTTCGGCAAACTTAACAAACCTTTTGGGATTGACCCATTTAGGTAATTTTCACCCATTCTAATCCTACTAAGTGATTCACATTGACCCAAAGATTCAGGAATTGGGCCAAACAAGAAGTTACCAAGAGTAATTAAAGTCTCCAAATTGTTGCCTCTACACATGTTTGGGGGCAAATTTCCAGTTAACTTATTGGTACTAATATCAAGCGTTTTTAACTTACTGTTTTGGCCCAAACCCATTGGAATACTTCCAGTGAAATTATTTTCCCAGAGCTGCAAAACTTCCAACTTCGGCAACTCTTGAATGAACTCTGGTATTGACCCATAAAGCTTGTTACGAAAAAGATTTAACAGAGTGAGATTCTTCAGCTCCGATAAAGTTAACGGTATTTCACCGGAGAGCAAATTGTTGGATAAATCTAAAGATTTTAAGCTTTTTAGATACCCAATTTCGGGTATTAAAGACCCAGAAAGAGAATTCACTTGTAAGAACAAAGTATCCAATTTCTTAAGCTTCCCTATCTCCGACGGAATATTGCCGGAAAGTCCACAGTTAGCAGCATCGAAACGTACGAGCTCGGACAAGTTCCCTATCTCCGGCGGAATTCCTCCAGAGAATGTGTTGTAGTATCCGACGTAAAGTTCCTTAAGAGTAGTGATATTTCCGATCTCCGGCGGGATATCTCCGGCGAGTTCATTGCCCGAAACTGCAAGGTATTTGAGGAAAGGAAATTTGCCGAACTCCGGTGGAATACGGCCGGTGAAAAAGTTGCCGCCGAGGTGAAGATGATAAAGATTTGTCAAATTATGGACCCCAACGGCAAGTTCACCGGTCAGGTTATTATTGTAAATATCGAGAACTTCAAGGTTTATTAGTTGGGTAAGCTGTTGAGGGAAACTCAAGTTAAAAATGTTGTTGCTGAGGTTAAGGTAACGGAGGTTTGAGATAAGGGAGAGTTCAACGGGAATGGGGCCAGAAAACTGGTTGACGGCGACGGAAAGATTGACGAGGTAACGGAGTTGGCCGATTTCGGGCGGGAGAGTACCGGTGAGGTTGAGATTTGAGATGTTTAGTGAAGTCACGTGACGGTATTTGTCGCACGTGACACCTTTCCATGTACAGTGACTGGTGGAGATGTTCCATGAAATGAGAGCGGATTGTGGGTCGTCGGTAATGGCGGTTTTCAGGGAGAGTAATGCGCGGTATTCAGGGAGGAAATGTGGTTTTGCGGCGGCGGAGGAGTGGAAATGGAGAATGAGGAAAAGGAGAAGAAGAAAAAGAAGAAAATGCATGATTTTTTTTTCAAAGGGAGAAAAGGAGCGAGCAGAGCAGAGATGGAGAGGAAGAGATGTGTTACATTGGTTTTTTATTTGCTTTTCATGTGTCTTTATCGAACAGAGACACTATAAATGTGTATTTATATGAACTTATCAAATACATTAGAAATTAGACAAAAAGAAAGTTACACGTACTTTGTCAATACATACTTTTTTGTGTGCGATCACCTTTGCCTGTCTACGAGCAACGTCAATATACTCAGTATAATTTTATAAGTGAGATATAAAAAAAAATTATTTTCAATAAAGCTATTTTTTGTGTGTCGATCACCTTGGCTTATTAGTCAACAATATAACCACTGTAATTTCATAAATAGGATCTGGGAAGAAATTATTTCTAATAGACCCTCGGCCAAAAAAAATTATAAAAATAGGTTTGAGAAATAATAAAGCCGTTATGATAAAAATACTGGAAAAAAAGTATTGGTAGCAAAAATAATAGGATAACCAAAATAAAGGAAATAACAGTAACAATAGAATTGAAGAAGAGGATAACGATAAAAGTACCATTTTCTTCGGTCCATAATATATGACTTTTTGGCCTTTTTATTTTGGTCCAAAATAAGTATCAATTTTACATGATCAAGAATGAATTAACTATCGTTTTTTAAATTTGCCCCTATTTATATATCTCAATATGTCAAGTTAACAATATGTAAAATTTAATTACGGATAATTTAGTCAAAATACTTATTTGTTTTCTAGGAGTTCGTATTTTATTAAGGGTGTGCCAAAGACAAAAAAGTCACGTATTATGAACCGAAGAGAGTAATAAGGAGAAGAGGGCACAGATAAGGTACGCTAAACTAGAACTACGTACTCCCACAAACGAAAAAAAATCACTCAACTACCTACTAATCGTTTACCTTAGGAATGGTATCCCCTCCAGTAGTGTGTTGTCCAGTAATGCTCAATGGCTTCTTAGATGCATGCCACGTGTGCAGATGGAGTTTCAAAGGCTTGGATTCAATTTGTACTTGTACTTCTTTTCTTGTATTTACTTTATCAAATAAATATAATACTTTAAAAATTAAAAATTATTATGAAAATAATTATATTGTGGATGTCCATTTATTACTCATCTATAGATAATCTTCCTGAAAAAGATTATCTATTTAGTACTCTGTTGAAATTTATCTCCAAGCAGTTGATGCAGGCAGGTTGAAAGCAGCTCAATGAAATAATTTGCAGCAATTTCTTATTAAACAGGCAGGTTGCAAGCAGCTCATGCAGACAACTTACAAGCAACTAAAGAAAAGCCTTGCAGCTGCTTCCTGAAAAGTCTCGCAGTTGCTTCCTTTCTTCTTTAAATAGAGGAGTTTTCAGTTCATTATGTACAAAAGTTTGAAGTCAGAATAATATGTCAGTTTCTCTTTATACTTGTCTTTAATTTACTGTCTTTATTTTATAACACGTTATCAGCACGAGATTCTGCCATCTCGAGAAAATACTTTGAAAGTATCAGAGGTACGAACTTTCTTTTTCTAAATAATGTCAAATCTTCCTAAACTTGAGTTTGTAGCCCTGGATATATCGGGCAAAAGTTACATGTCTTGGGTGCTTGATGCCGAAATTCATCTTGATGCGATGGGTCTGGCAGACACCATCAAAGATAAAAATCAGGCATCAAACCAAGACCGTGCCAAAGCAATGATATTCCTACGCCATCACCTTGATGAGGGCCTGAAAATGGAATATCTTATTGTTAAAGATCCAGTCATACTGTGGAATAATTTGAAAGATAGATATGACCACCTGAAGATGGTCGTTCTTCCATAGGCACGTTATGATTGGACTCATCTAAGGCTACAAGATTTTAAATCTATCAGTGAGTATAATTCTGCTATGTTCAGAATTATTTCCCAATTGAAACTATGTGGTGATAATATTACTGATCATGATATGTTGGAGAAAACTTTCACCACTTTTCATGCCTCGAATATGCTCCTGCAGCAGCAATATCGAGAGATGGGATTCAAAAAGTATTCTGAACTTATCTCACATCTTCTTGTAGCCGATCAACATAATGGGCTATTAATGAAAAACCATGAAAGCCGACCTACTGGTTCTTGTCCATTCCCTGAAGTGAATGAGACGAACTTCCACCAAGCTAAGCGTGGAAGATGACGTGGCCCCAGTCGTGGTCATGACCGTGATCGGGGAGAAAACTCTAATCGTGGTAATAACAATGTACCAAAGAACCCTCCTCACCACCAGCAGTGGAAAAGGAAGGAACAAAAGCATGAAGCAGTGCAAGTAGCAAAGCCAAAAAATACATGCTATAGATATGGAGGAAAAGGGCACTGGTCACGTACATGTCATATGCTAAAGCACCTGGTTGAGCTGTATCAAGCCTCCCTGAAGAAGACAGAAAAATGCTGAAGCAAATTTTATTTTTGAAGATAATTTAGACTTCATGCATTTGGATGTAGCTGATTACTTTGCACTCCCAGAAGGAGAAACAAGTCATATGATTGGTAGTGAATCTGTAAAAATATAAATATTTTAATTTTGATTGTTTGTAGTAGATAGTATGGTTATGTAATTGTTGTACATAAATAAAAGTTATGCTTTGATAATAATGTTTACTATCATATTTATTTTGTTTATGTCATTTTGAAGAATATGGATAATCCTCAAATTATGTTTGGATCAAAGACCAATCATGAAGATATTTGTGTAATTGATAGTGGAACAACTCATGCCATATTCAAAGATCAGAAATACTTTTCTTATTTGCATAAGGAAAAAGCAAATGTTTCAACAATTTCTGGTAATATAAGTTTGATTGAAGGCTCCGGAAGAGCTACTGTATTTCTGTCTAAGGGAACAAAACTTATTATCGACAATGCATTGTTCTCCTCCAAGTCCCGAAGAAACTTGTTGAGTTTTATAGATATCCGCCGAAATGGGTATCATGTTGAGACAATAGATGAAATGAACGTGGAATATCTTTGTATTACAAAGAATATTTCTGGCCAGAAATGCATTGTAGAAAAGTTACCAACTTTATCTTCTGGCTTATACTATTCAAAGATTAGTACAGTTGAAGCACACTCTATCGTAAACCAGAAGTTTACTGATTCAAATACTTTTGTGCTTTGGCATGGCCGTTTGGGCCATCCTGGATCAATAATGATGAGACGAATTACTGAAAATTCGAGTGGGCATCCATTAAAGAACCTGAAGATTCTTACAAATAATGAATTTTCTTGTGATGCTTGTTATCAAGGCAAAATGATCACTAGACCATCACCAATGAAGGTTGGCATTGAGTCTCCTGCCTTTTTAGAACGTATACATGGGGATATATGTGGACCTATTTACCCACCAAGTGGACTGTTTAGATATTTTATGATCCTAATAGATGCATCTTCAAGATGGTCTC